ATTTTGTTTGTTACTTATTTAATGCGAATCTTTGGATTGTTAAAAATGGCAATAAAGTGTAATGTAATTATATTTTTAGTAGAATACACAAAGTAGATTATACATAAACATAAAATACCAATTCTTCCTATAATAAAACAAATATACAAAAATATTTTACTTTGTTCATAAATAGGTTTATAATAACTGCTGCAGATTTTTTTTATCCGCCTTTTCTAGTAATAAGCATCTACGACCCTTGTGAGTGAACACAGAAAGTCATCCTATTTCATTCACTCCCATCGCCGAAATGGCCCGATTTGAAGTGAACTACGAGTGGCGCGCTCAGTCACCACGGAACGGAGATCGTGCATTGTATCAAATACGTATGTCGTGATATGAGTGACGGGGATAGCTATTGGAACGGAGGAACACCTATGTGACTTTGGAACGTCGGTGATACTGTTTGACGGCGGATCATCGTGATTTTTTCATCGTGACGTTATTTATCACCCACCTCTAATGTTTAGAGAAATTTGAGAATACAGAGAGCTCAGCAAGGCAACAACGAGTTGAGTCCCTTCTTGGGAACTGCTACCCGGATCTTCTGACGTTTCGTACGCTCATATAGGGGTGAATTTGTATTGGCAACATACAAGGTGAAAATAAAAATCTTCTGCAAACAACACTTGGAGTTTTCACTTTGCTTGGTTTGGTAACCTCATTCAAAGGAAGAAAGAACCTCTCTCCTTTACAAGGCTAATTTATCTATTTTTTTTGTAGAAACCTATGTCAATAATTGTTTGATATTATTACGGTTAGGTTAGGTTACTCACATCAATAATCAGATTTCTACTAAAAAAGTAGTATTTGACGTTTATTAAATTAAAAATACTAATATCACTTAGTTCAGTTACACTACTTCATAAATATCACTAAAAAGTCATAACTGACTATATTTAAAACCGTTTATTTCTATTATAAGTACAGTATTACAAGTAACATTTAAGTTAGTTAAGGCCTTTATAATAATAAATCGTAATAAATTTTTCTTACTAAGTTAAATGAGTAAATTAAAGTGTTTTATATGGTTTTATAAGAAATATCTGTATAAAATATGTCGCATATTTATCATAAATAAATTACTTAATATGAAAACATATTTTAACCATATTTTAACTATTCTTTTCATCACAAAAACTTACAAAATCTTTCAAATAATTTCCGCTTGTGCCGTTCTTTTTTCCAAGGGCAGAATTGGTATATTTATGTGCTTGTATTATATGCACCCTGTGTGGTGATTTCATTTACGTTTTATAGCCCCAGTTATGTTTTTAGCACTCCTAAATAAGATCAATTTTAATTTCAGGCAAAAATAAAAAAAATTGAGGGTGAAATAGAAGTCGAGGAAGAACCATTACCAGAAATGACACATAATGTATTTGGTTTAGACCACACGCGTATTATGAATCGTCTTATATCTGCGAGAAAGAGATCCAAAGATGCTTGGAGCTCTCTGGATGAAGATATTCCAGTGATACACTATAGAGCAAGAGCAAGTAAATTGCCTGACGTCGATATGGGAACACAGAAGCAGGAATTAGCTGATTTCTTGTTGAAAAGACAGGTAAATAATATAATATATAGATCACTCTATGTAGGGTCCACTACGGCGCACGGTTCTTGCTTGCGGAGAGGATCGTTGATCGGGAGTTTACAAAGTTTATATGAACCTTTCCAGACGTACATACAAACAAAACTTACCGCATTTTTCAAAAACCAAGAGACGTTGATATAATCTTCGAATTACATTACAAAAGGGTGTTGTATCGGGGATTGAATTGGACATCTTGTACGTACAGTTGCACTAGAGAACTACTATTATGGCACTGCTTTTTAATGAGTTGATTGTTTACCAATTTAAATATATAATGTCGGCATATGCCACTAACAAGATGGAATAGCAGTCGAATGAGTCAACAGAACATTAAAATGTCGAACATTGAATAGTGACTGCAGTACGTGTGTGGTACACAATGGCATCCCAGCTTAACAAAAGCGTGTCTGATTAGATTAGAGCGATAGTGGTGTGACGTCACCGGTTCTCGTGTAAATTGGCAATGCTTGAACTGTACTCGTAGGGAAGCTTTTATACCTATAACGTAGGCGTACTCATTCGCACTCTTAATTTTTTCCTGGAACAAATGTTCTGATGGCGCTCTGATTATGCATATTTCTCGGCTCATACTTTTGTCATTAGTCTGTAAACAGAAGTAAAGGTTTCTCGTTTGCAGCAACATGCCGCGCGAGTAGAGAGTACATGGTAGATTGTTTTGAAATTAATAAAAATGTTTGTTAGATATATTATAATATTTGGTAGATAGAAATAAAATATTTCAAATTAATTAATGCCAAAATTCAATAAAATGTTGCTTTTGTAATTTTAGCTTTGGTCAGTGCTGACAACGGAATTGCACTTGTCGGTGGTTAGTCATAATTATGAAGAAATTATTTACAGTAAGAGACGATGTTTAGCGATAGTTTACAAGCCGGTATGCATGTAGATACATAGGTTTCGAGTATTTTGCATGCGTCATTTAACTTTTGAAACTAAGGTTCTATTCACGAATTTAAATTTCATATATCACGCGTCATATACATCATATGCGACGCCAATATCGCTGTTTCATTTTCCCTTTGTTTTTAATTTTTTTTGAGAATTTTGCAAAAAATAGTAGATAAACATTTATACCTTTAAGTATATACCTAAATAATAGCTACAGTGTGGGGAAATCCAGGATTGTAAAGGGTTAAATGAGATATTTAGGATTTCGGCAAAACAAAATAAATTGTACATACTAGACATGCAATATCTGCAATCCTGGAAGGAATGTTCCGCATCCCACTACGTCGCCGTCGCCCCCACAAATGATTAGAATTCTTACTGCCACGTCTATCATTCCAACAATTGCCATTATGTTCTTATTTTGTTATATGAGCTATGGAATAGAGAAGCACATGCAATTTACGCATTTGTTATTTGTTGTACTGTTTCCGTAAACTGTTTTCTATTTATATTATTCTGACATGTTGTTCCAAGCCGATGCCATGAATAAACATGTTACAGCAATTGTCCCAAGCACTAAAAACTTCAAAGAAGTGGTTTCCTCCTATACACATAACACCATGATTATTTACGAAGAATGTGTGGACGACGGCAGGCGTTGTTTTACCGACTTTCATAATATGTACGTAGAAAGAGGAATTGACGTAAATGTGTTATCAATGAAATCTTTACGACCGATCTGATACAAAACAATACCATTATTACCTTAAACGTTATTGATGTAAATCGATTTCAAAACAGATTATGTTAAAATCGACGTATATATATATAGATATTGTAGGTGCTGTAAGAGCAATTGCACGGTGGGCTTAAACATATTTGCATCTGACAATCACACCAGTTCCCACGATGCCCAGCAACCAATTATATAGAAAAGTTAATTTTCTTAGTTCAAACTCGGGACTTTCCCATGTTATGTCCACATTTCTCAATTGTTGGGCCTCCGAGGTCGTCTATTTACGGTGGAACGCCGCCATCGATCACGTTCGGATATAGTGCGCAGTGGATTTAAATTTTAAAAATACAATTTATACCAACTGTTTTTATCATGAACTATCAAAATAATTTAAGGGAATAATTGGAAACTTTAGGAAATGAAACTATATTTCCGGATTTAAATAACGTATATTTGTTTTCCAAATAAACCAACGTTTCGGGCCCTTTACAGGTCCCATGGTCCGGAAAAATAGTTTCATTTCTTATGTGTAATAATGGCAAAACCCGAGAACTTGATAAATAGGAAACTTTGTTTACTCATATAAAATGCACGAGGTCAGTAGGGCTCAGGTCGGATTTCGAGAAATCTGTTCCACCCGGGCCCCATCTCGGCAACGTATTCGACAATGAAGCGAATAACTATGACTATTATATATCACGTATTGTACTGATGGGACAGCACGTCAAGATACATATTGAAGGATCTTATTCCACTAGAGGTCATATTTAAACAAAATTGCATAACTTGATGTGGTGTTGACTGTACACAAATGTACAGGAATGTATTTTAAGAACTAGGACGAATAATTAAGAAATTAACAAAAGAAAATGTTGGACTGTTTTCATTATGTGGGCGTGTACATATAAAAAAAGAAAGAAAACTTACAACACCGATATTTTGATATTTTTAGTTCAAGTTTGTAATTTCTTCGTCTTTATAGAAATGCTACTAAAACATATCCCGTCCGGCGCACAGGCATGGGCGTGTCGCTTACCACCAGGCACACGACTTGTTCGCCCTGTCACTTGATATTAAAAAAATGCAACTTTATAAGTCTCATTAAGGTTTCTAAGTTAGTTCGTATTTAAATGCACTAGAAGGCTTCGTAATCATCACGTTCGTATTTACGTCACCGCGTCTGACACGTGTAGCAATAGCATTTTTGCGTGTTTACCACCTGGAAGTGCTAACTGAATTAATTTCCGTTTGGGATACGTATAATAGTACGCTCAACTGCCTCCGTTACCACGCCGGTCTGCCATGCAGAGGTCCTGGGTTCGAGTCCCAGGCCGGGTGAAATATGTGTATGGCCTACATTTATTTCTCTCGTGAGTTTGGGTGTAATTTGTGGTTGTCTATGTGTGTGTGTGTGTCCATGGCACCCGCGACACAGGGTTTCCCTAGTGCGGGGCTATGTTGAGTGTGTGGGTTATTATTATATTATTATTATTATTATTTTCTATATACGCAACCGGGTATTTTTTTATTATTTTTTCGCATTTAGTATACACATCCTAGTTTTAGACAGACTAATCCATCGAGCATGGGCCGGGGTGAAACTGGCTTCATGACGACAATTTTTATCTCTCTTTTTAAAATTATTTTTCTACTTAAGTTTACTGTGATGGTGATTATCACTAACTAACTTAAATCAATATATCTATAAGAATATCACTAACTACCAGTGATCGGAATTGAGGAGTTAATTTACCTAAAATATGGACGTTTTCTTAGTATAGTCATACTCATTTCGGCATGCGTATAAAATTTCATTTTTTATTCATTATTTTCTAAACATTCCGAAATATAGATTGTCTCTTGTATTTATTTACATAAGTAAGTACATACCTATAGAAACACAACATCAATATTATTTTTTGAGACAATTGTAGTTGTGTTTCTTTATTAATTTGTACTTAACAGGAAATAATCATTTGGTACTCAAATTTTAATAAAATAATACGCACATTCAAATATAATTAGTTCTGCGAAGTCCCTGAATTTGTAGAAGGGAATGTCCACATTATTCTTTAGTTTAGCTAATTAACTCCCTCAAAACCGATCATGGCGAATTACAGGTTTCTTACGACGATATGATTTCTTTCTATTTTTCCGATATTTCAGTGTCAACCCCTTTTTTTTTCTTTTAAAACTAAAACCGTTAAAACTTCTGTCGAGCCCTGGCACACCCGACAGTTATGTGGGACAGACGCTCCAGTAGAGGGATACTCACTAAAACCTCCTCGGCGCACCCTTTTTGCCGGTTGTTGTGGGCGCCATGGGATATTGCAGATTCACCACCCGGCCACCTTGACTTCTGCCAAGTTCCCGCGCTAAAGAGGAGAGGGGTTTTACTGGGGTACTAGGCGAGCAGCGAACTGCGTTCGCGTTTTCCCCCTTTAGACTGCGTCTTCGCGCACCCGCTCCGCGGGCACGAGTCAACCCCTGACCATGGAGCGTGTAGCCGTTCCGAAATATCGGGAAAATAAAAAGAAATCATATCGTAAGTGGTAAGAAATAATTGTAAATATACGTAATTAGTGATAATCATTTAGTGAATAACCACGAAAGCCTTAAAATATACATTAAGTTCACTGTTTTAATGAGTATACATTTAATTAAAATTCACCCTAGTGGTAAAATATACACGAGTATAGAAGGATACAAATTTTAATCCTCTTCATTTATTCTAGATTCTTCAAAACAAATTGTACAAAGAAGTGCGAGCATCACGAAAAGATTATCAACTTTCTACCCAAGATAATGAAGATGATGAAGGAGAAGATTTAAACTACAGCGACAATGAAGAACAACTCGAAGAAGAATATTACAATAATTATTATAATGATAGTTAAGTTTTTTAATTGTTTTAAGTACATTTGGGTAAGAATCTTATACAAATAATCAAACCTCTCTTTTACCTTATTGAAAAGGAACAGAACTTTTCTATGAGATCAGAATCTACTTGTAATAAAATTGATTTTGCATTGAGTCGTTTGTGATATTAGAATGTAGTTTGCAGTAAAATTTTAATACAAAAATTGTGGTGATTTAATTTTTATCTAGCGTGTCTAGCTTGCGGTAATTTTTTTACATTTGTTTGTCCTTTTGCACGAGACCATAAGACCAAGAATATAGGTACGTCATAATAAAAGCTCGAGTAATAAAATCCCAATATTCAACAAAGGTGATGGGCTGCAATGAGAAACACGCACACCATCAACACAATTTTATACGTTCCACTGCTGGGCACGGGTCTCCCCCAGGTGCGTGTTTTTCGATCATAGTCTGCCACGCTGGCCCAATGGGTTGTGAACCTTCGACGTGCAGGTTTCATCACGATGTTTTCCTTCACCGAAATGAGAAAGGCGAGGGTTAAACTTTACTTCTGGTACCTGCTGCGTTCTACCTAAGTGTGTGAGCTCCGCACCTATACTTTGTGTTAGTGTTGGTCTTTACAGCCAGAAAAGCAGTCTCTGATTTTTTAAATAATATCAAATGATGGGACGAACAAGTTGCAGTACCACTCGCAAAGATCTGAGGGGCACTGCCACTGCGCCCGTCACCAAGACACATAAAGTTGACAAGTCCCAATGTGTCCTGCAGTTTCCCGAGAATCCATATCCTTCATAACGGAAGCGCGTAATCCGCGCGTAGTAAAATAAATTATATATTATATTAATAGTAAATAATGGTGGGAAAAAATTGGTATGGTGGCTCCCTGGATGAAGTCTTTCGAGATCTACTGCTACTAATTTTTTTTTTATTGATTAATTGTTGATTGATAATAGTTGGTCGCGTAGAAATTACAACGTTCATTTTGGGTAGGTTCAGCGCTAGTATCTTGCCTCACTAGTGGGATAGGTTACGGTATTAAATTACTCTCACACTCGACTGTACTTACAGACAGTTGGCGCATGAGGACTCGTAAGTAGCTCATGCTTTACTCAGGTGGAGAACCTAGGTGGAGCACGAGCCCGTATATAATAGTCCAAATCAAAACTTATGTAACTAAATTCTATTCGAAATTATCGAATAATTTGCATTCATTTTCTTCCTCCCTAGTCCAACAAATAATGACGAAAAAGCTAAACCTATCGTTAATTCATTTTATGCGACGTTGTTTTTATGAATAAATGCAATTAATTGATGTTTATGTTATAGCATGATATATTACTGCAATGAAGGTCACTGATAGCTACTGGGTTTTTTATCGCGGTGTTTATATGGCACATCGGTATGTTTTACAATAGTCATTTGCAGTTTGAAGAACGAAATTACCCTGGTTATTGTTAACTTATATTTAATTTGCAACTGCAGGGTAAAATTGGTAGTAGGTACAAATATATCTTTACTGCTAGTCTATCCTTGTTGGAATATGGTATGTTTTGTTTATAACCCGCAAATAAAATTGCCAATTGTATACCATTCGGAAACTGGACGATGATATTATCGTACGCAGGGCCTTGCGTATGCGCTTTGCAACAACATATAAAGTATGTTGAACTAAATACGTTTCTCGGAAACAGCACTACACTGAATAAACAAAGGAAATGTTTAAAACACCTTCAAATTGTACATTTGGCCTATCAAATACCAACTCATGATTGAGGGGTTTATATAGAGTCAGTTCTGACTTAAGGCCCTAGAATCGTCCTAGGCATCTGTGCATCAGCCGGCAAATTATGCTCTAAGTTATATTAATATCTTAGCTTGAGCCTGTCTCCTATTTGAATACTTACCAAATTTTTCACTAAATGACTCAACGAACTGAAATCTTCCTCGAATTCTTTGCTATCACATTTCTACCGTTCTATTTACAATGTTATCATTATTTGTATAAATGTTATAATTTTAATTATGATATTGTCTGAATTGAAAACATTGTTTTGTTTACATTGATATTTTTTACCTCTATAATTTTATTAGACATGCATTTTATAAAAGATTGTATATGGGTGAATCACGAATTCAAATCAAATCCTCCGAGAAATTGTCATTATCGGTGATTGCTATGTAACCGCTCCTCTTAAGGGCCAGTAGGCACCATATATTGTATGAGCGAGCAAATTGTTATACCTACTGTAAACTTCAATCCGGCTGCGGGTAATGTTTGCAAGTCTACTTAAAGTATTGGCATCATATTGATCGAGTTGCCAAGTCACGTTCGAAGCGCGTACAATTTCGGGAGTCGCCTCGAGTTCAAGTCCGAATGTACCTAAAGCGGGTGTAGAAAACGACTTTTTATATCCGCTCGTAATAAAGTTAATCCAGGTCCTGTGTAGTAATCAGCCGGGGTAGGAGGCAGTGGAACCGGCCGGCGGCAGCCACCTGTTCGTTTGCGCGCCAGAGCCACCGCGCCCCCCGCCCCCGGCTGCGCCCCGGCACCCTCGCGGCCACCGACGGTTGCGCGCGCGGATCCCTTCCTTCGTCATTCGTTCCGCGACGCGTCGTCTCGTCGGCCGGCTTCCTCGCACGCCATTCTCACCGCGTCCTTTACCCACACCGCACTCGATCACCAGATATGACGGAAAGCAACGATACCCCCGCGGCCGCTGCGCCCGAGAAGACCCCCACCGAAAATGGGACCACTGAGACTCCACCGGAGGAAACTCCAGAGAAAGCCACCGAGGAGAAGGAAAAGGAGAAAGAGACTCCACCACCGAAGGAGATGCGCGCCGTCGTTCTCACTGGCTTCGGCGGACTGAAGACTGTTAAAATTCTGAAGAAGCCTGAACCCACAGTAGGAGAAGGAGAGGTCTTGATTCGTGTTAAAGCTTGGTGAGTAATTTAATTATTTAGTAATTTAGTATATACCCGCTTTTATTCTAAACTGTCCTGAATTTACGGCTAATAATTTAAATGTTAATTCAAGGATTTATATTTAATTATATGCAGGTGTACGGGAATAGAAATTGAATATTTAGGTGTTATTCGAATTTTATTAATATTGCCTGGTTTACAACTCTACATTTTAATGGAGTTATTTGCGTATTATTAGAATTAGCTGTCGAGTACAGTAATAAATGGGTTTGTATTAATTTGAAAGGTAGTCTTCGTCGTTTTATTATATCGCGTGAATTGTGATTTATGTATTTACGAAATTTGTTCAGTGGTTGTTGGTGGGGCTTAGTTTTACAGCAGCGACGATTGCCGGCTCATTAACATCTGCCGCCCGCAGAGCTGCCCCTCATGCACTCGATTCAAAATTCTGCACGCACGCACTCTCAACATCGCCGCGGTAGTTTCGTTGCATTGTCGCTGTGACGCACCCTAAAGCGGATTTACAGTCGGACGATCCCCGCCGAAGATGCTTTATCATGTCCATTTTTTCTAGATTCTTTTGTTAATACTCATGTTTACATTGTCGTGTTCTTTTCCGATTTCGCTAGGTTATTACTTATTCTATTGAATATGGAAATTCGTTTTCGATCGCTATTCGAATTGCATTCACGCATGCGTGTGCGCACCGAAGCGTGCGTTGCTGTTCGCTGCCTGCCACCGCCGACGCTGCACGGATGGCCACTACAAAATTAATGTTATTTTGTCATTGGAAGCCGCTGCAACGAGTTCGTGCGAAAGGGAGTTAAGCCGACTGACATTGTTCTTTGTTCATTTTTATCGCTTCAGTGCTTGAGATAATGCGGGGCCAAGTCGTCAACACGACATATATTCCCGCGCAACATACGAGTTATCTGCCACTTTTCTCTTTAACTTTAACTAATGTCTGATAGTAGTTTAACGAAGCACCCACTTAACTGTGAATGATTTGTTTCGTTACCGTGTTACGGTTAAGTAAAGATACGGATAAGCTGCTGCTTTTTTACGAGTTGAGATTAGCTATGGTACCTATCGAAACTGGTGAGTTGAGTAATTGCTCGTTGATGTCTATTGTATGATAGCGCTGTTACTGTGGCAAGTGTTCGTGTGAGATTTCGTACGGGAGGGTAGCGGGAGGCGTAGGTGCAAGCCGAGGTGCAGCGCGCATCCTCGCCTGTGCTAACGGCTAAATATAGCACGCTTATCGCCGACTTACTATGTAAATGACCGCGACATACTCGATGCCTGCTGCCGCGAAAATATGAATCTCCGACTGGTCTCGTCTCGACCAGTTACAAGTACTAGTTCTCTAGTCTTGCACCGCAAAAACGTGTGAGTTCCGCCCACACGGCCCACGCGGCTATGCTCAGCTAGGCTGCTACTGGCGGCTAATAATATTAAAAGACTCCCAGTATCGATCGACTGTCTAGAGATGTTGTGTATCTCGCTTTGTAGTCTTTTTGGAAAACAAATATTGCTGTAATAAACCTATGTCGATCGTAGACTTGTTTAAATCGATATTTCTGCGCAATGATGTTATGGTAAAGAGTCCATGAGTCCTTTATCAACAGCTATGAAATTGAAAGATACCCAACGACATTGTTTAGATACATTTGACTTTCTCACTTTGTTTAATATGAAATAAATATTTTCATGTATCATGTTATCTTAAATAAATGTATTGAAAGTTGACTAACGTTCGTTTAAAACTTTGAAAGTCAAGTGCCTATGAGTGAATAAAATTAGATCATAGTGAGTACGAGGCACCTTGAGACCGGCACGAGAGTTCAAGGATACGATGCATTGAACACGAAATACAACTAAACTGGACCTCCGAGTATGTTGACCCACAATTAAATAGTCATTACGTTATAACCTCCGAATGTTCAAAATATTATCTGTTTGTGTTACAGTCAGGGTGACTATGATTTAATATGTAGCCTATAGCAAACGAATCAGTGACAAAATTGCATATGTTATGACTTACCAACTCAACAATTGTCAGAAAATGTGTGAATTGTAAAATCTGTCGTGCTTAAAAGGGCGGGTTTCACTTACAATATTTGCTTGTAGGCCCAGCAATAAGATCAATATTGGTAGAAAATTGTAGGACTTTATTTATTTATAAACCAAGCGGATCGCGTAAAAGCGAACGAGCTGCTCTCTTGCGTACAACCGAACTTTAAATAGAAGTAAAGTAAACACGAAGAAATATCTCCTAAAGAATCGTTCCATTCTAGTCAGTTTACAACGCACAAGAATTCCTTGTGTAATAGCGCTATTAAACTAATGATATGTAACAGTTATAAAATAAAATCTATTCGTATAAAGTCTGTCGAACCATGGCCTGGGTATGTGTAGGGTGTACACAATCGTGTGCAGAGCTTCGGCTAATACGTTTTTGTAAGTCTTCCAGGGACCGAACCAATGAACAACGCACCATTATTTTCAATTAGGTCAAGTCAGTCTTAGTAAGAGATGTCTTCCGAGAACAATCGGAGTACTCACGCCTCTTGTGAGGCTTTCTTTTTTATGCCGGGAGTGGTTAATTATATGTGAAGATGAGTGAGAGATGGGAAATGTGATGGTCGATCTTTTTTTTTGTCGTGCATCTGGTCTAAATTGTTACATTGGGGTCATGGGATTGGAACTTTAGTAAATGTTTATATAAGAGCACACATCTTTGCTAAAGATCCGTTGTAGTTATTGCAACTCATCGTACAGTGGTGAAAGTGTGTGTTAATTGCCCACATCCTTTCCTTTGTTGGCGTATCAATTTAAAGCCTAAAAATAACGTCTGCCCCTCGCACTGAGTCGAGAGTTCTATGGTATAAAGTGCAGTATTGTGCATTTTAATGTACTTTGGCGCTGCATAAGATGGGAGAGATGAATTTGTTTATTACCCTCTTCCTTATTGAGAGCGTCTGCGCGAGATAGCTCTCTTCCTATGACTCACTAGAAAGTTATGTTCTTGAACTGACTCGATTCAAATAACTTGCTTCTTTGCTTGTACCTGACTTCGCGGTCTGCCCAGGCTGAGTGGGTGGACTCGCTTGCACTCACTATTGCACACTCGTACAACGATTCGTTTCGCTTATCTGCATTAGTATTTCAATTTCAAGATGAAAATTGCGACTCATGATTGAAGAACATCGATAAGGTAATTTCTGTGAAAAGTTAACATTTTTATTTTACGTTATGTATGACGTTTACGAACCTAATAAAAAGTACTTGGTACTTGGTGCAACGGGCTGGTGTCCGCAACTCGACGTCAAGGCGCCTATTTTGCGTGTGGAAAAAAAGTAAAAAAAGGGTATAAAAATAAATATAAATATAATAAAAAGTATCACAGCTTTCTATAAATTAAGTCATTATTCTCAATAGCCAAAGTTAATTCTCTAACAATAAAAGGTCCATCTTATTTGTGAGTATAAGCTTCAATTTGTTTTATTGAACCCCTATCGTCAAATATGAGCACAAAGAGTAGATAGATTAGTAATATTAGTTTCGTTATGGACGAGTTGTTTATTAAATGCGCCCTACATACGGCTGATGTACTGCTATGGGTGATTTAGTGAATGTTACTTCTTGATTACGTTATATTACTCAGGTTATATGGAGGATTCCTTCTACTATAACAGGTTCTATTGTTACGAGTGTGATCGTGTTTTTATAATAACATATTATCGTCTGTATGACCTGTGGGATTCAGACATCCATCAATCACACTTGATGGGAGACAGGTTAGAACGCGCGCTGGCCGGTACGATTTCTTGATAGTTTGGGTAGACAACAGTTGTACTTTTGAATTATAGAACAATAATGAACAATTATAAAGGCAGTCGATGCGTCACGACCTTTTATTCCTGTATTATCTTCGACCGACTTACGCATATGAGTCAGGCTAAGTTAAGCTATGGCAGTAAAATGACTCACGCTTAAAAAAGTGATTTTAAATAAAATCATATCCGTAGCTTAGAGCTATTTGCATCCCGTTGCACACGGATCCCCTGCAATTAGGGAGGGTTACCTTAACACATAATATTGCCTTTGTTTTGATGCGAGTGCGTCACAAAACAATTCTTTAGAATTGCTATCATTTTGATAAATACCCGCTACGTTTGTTTTGCTCGAAAATAACGAACCTGGAATATTAATTGAATTTAGGATTCCCCCTGGGTTTTGTTAATTAGTTTTATCTCAGAAATTAATTGCCGTCGTCACGGGGGTGATAATATAATATGTTACAATGTTGCCGGTAAAAATAATTTGTATCTTGTGCCTTAGCTCTACATTTAAAATTTTCCATTTCAAATTTTCCAATTTTAAATTTTTATTTACCTATTTGTGATAAAAACTGATAAGGTCGTTAAATATGAGCAAAAGGGAAGTCACACACACACATACACTATTAATTAACGGACATACTTATTCTGTTTAGAATATGGCTAGTTAATACATTTTGGATAATATTGAATTTATCTCGTACTTTTGTGCCGTCGAATGAGAAATGTAATTGAAATTCCCTTGTGAATCAAATAAATATACTTAATTAGTTCCCGCAAAACCTGTTTCATTCTGTTAACCAAGATAAATAATATTTTTTTCCTTCGCGATGAAAAGAAATTTTTAAAACAATTTGCTATATTTGATCGAGTACAAATTCGAAGAACTTGAGTTGGTAAACCGCTCCGAGTTTCATGCAACAGTTTATAGCACGCATTTATGAATATGTGACAATAATTCTTGGTACCTCGGAGACATATAGGAAGCTAAGAAATGTGCTATGTGTATCGTGCCGTATGTAATATCTTTCATCGAGTAGACAGCAGATGCGCCGGGATCGGACGAAGCGAGCAGCCGCCGCCGCCGCCATCGCTGCTAGCGCGACCGCCATGAGCACATTGTCAGCGGAGTCGATGAACTTACGAAAATGCGCCTTCGCTTATTGTGCCCATAATCGAATGAACTCACCACTCTATATGGAAGTAAACATGTCGCATTTTTTAATCTTTTTTGACAAATAAAATTTAACAGACAGTCCAGAAACCTCCAATGTCCAACCAGCCTTTCTCGGAAATTCAAGTACCGCCAGTTTGCTTCTGTTTACATTCATATCTGTAAACTGATATTCACACGAAACTATGTAATTATTTCAGTCAATCACTTAACTCTTTTAGCCGTGTGTGTGTGTGTGTGTGTGTGTTTTGTGTGTTTGTGTGTGTGTGTGTTAATAAATGCACATTTTCAGTATTCTTAAATTCAAATAGTTTCGTGTCGATATGCCATTATGATCTCATCGGTCACTGCTTAAGTTTTCGATTGCTGAGTAAATTGAATTGGAAAATCCCGTGACTGGATCCTGGCATGAAAAAGGGGTGTGGTTGCGTTGCTGGGTGGCGGGTAGGTAGTGTGCGTCGGGTTCGCTAGTGGCAGGGGGTGAGGGTGCCAGTGCTTCTGAAATATCTGCCTGAGTGCGGGGGCCATAAGGGGTGTTGTACGAGAGCGGGGAAGTGGGGAGGGACACGCGGCGACCGCCAGATCAATACGACGCGTCCCCTACCCGCCGCCGCCCGACCAATCTCCGCAGGCCCTTCGTCTTTCGACGCCAATGCTTGTTTTTTATAGCACTCACTAACCATGCTCTCCGATAAATTAATAAAAGCATGTGTTAGTTTTTTTGAGTAGCGGAATTCTGTTGGGGTTTATTTTTTAACGTTTTCTAACGTTAATCTTCATCCGACAGTAATCTTTCCGTTCTCGCTTTCATTGTGATAAATCCGGTGATTTACGAATTCACAGCGCGATTTCTCCAAGTGTGCGTAAATTGTAATGGACCTGTTGAATGTGCGTTAGGATACGGAATTTTATACGCACGCATTATAAAAACAAACTTTTCTTTAACGCGTTGCACTTTAACGCCTTCGCGTATTCTTATCTTACGTGCTCAGCAACATTCCACGATGAACTCAAAGGCGATCAATTTGCATAATTTAAACCAAGTCCAGGAATTTTAATATAAGAAAAACGAGATCGTTTTCTTATTTAAAATATTAGGAAAGCGAATATTATTATTATTAATTTTCATGGCAGGGGTATTTTTCTCTAATTGATAATTTATGAACGATGGTGGGACGAATTTATCGGTAAAGCTCTTGTTAAATAGGTACTGCTTCTTACCGCTTGGCAGTTGAAGTACAATTTTCTGCCAACACTCGGGAGTATTGGCAGAAAATTGTACTTCAATTCGGTTTCGAGTCCGCCATTTTTTTTCATAAGGGTAGCGAACTTGCTGCTTCCGTTCGTAAGCAGGAATGTCCTTTGAATTGTAAAAACGTGGTCCCCTCTTTGCATTTAAATCGCGAATATCATCATTATAATTTTCTTTTGTATCATCGTGGTATGCTGACACCCGTTTCATATTATAAACGTATGGCATAATTAAGCAGGCAGTATCTGCAGTTATGAATAGGTACAGTGCTCTATTTCATTTTTAATCACGTAATTCGTTGTACATAGTTGGAATTACTTTGCTACGTGAAAGTAAATGGTTTAAAAATAATTTGCAACGATACATAACGTTTACAGCAACTTTATAACGATATAATTTACCATTCAAACTTGGACTTAGGTACCTATATTTGCTACGACAGTGTTAATTTTGTTTTTGTCTGTACAGCTAGTCAGTCAGTTGGTATTACGGCGCTGAGTTGGGTTTAAAGTCATTTATCATCAAGGATCAGTCTCGGAGGTACTTCCACGGGCCATTACTTTTTCTATTATAGTAATACGAGTGTATAATACACGTTTTATTACGATGAGAATTCTTACTTAGGCCCGTTGACGTTTATGTCCTAACTATTTCTTTCGTTTTATGTTTGGAATCTAGACTTGTATCCACTATTATAAGATTACACATTTTTGTTTTCCCTATCTATGTATATCAAATGACGCCATATTTTTCCATCATAATTAAACAATTTGCCATAATTGTGATCACTTAACAACAGACTTAATAAAACAATCTAGTAAAGTAACTATAAAGCATTGTCAGAAATTATCAAGATATTTATTTTTTACTGACTTCCAAAAAGGGGGTTCTCATTTGGACTGTATTTTTATTTTTGTGTGTATATTACGCGATAACAATTGTCATTTATTTGTGTACAAATGTTGATGATTCTTTTTTGTTGAAAAGAGGATACTCAGTAGTGGTCCCATTTAAATTTGAAGAAAATATTCCACATCTAAGGGTGGCAAAGTAGGGGATGAATCCGGTTTCGCGCACTTTACGTTAACAGATTTCAATAAAACTTTGCAAATGGATGTAATACCACGAACTTTTGAAGTTTTTTTTTTTACTTTGACTCTGTATTGAGATTACCAATTAACGATTTGGTTTGCGACTTTTTTAGATTAACATCTAACACGTTTATAAGTCTTTGATACAAATACCTATATGGCACGACCATAGATATTTTTCCTATATCTATGGGCACGACATTGCTGAAGGTAGCATGTTATTGTCCCAATTAATTTTATATATATTAAGGTATATTTTATCAAGATAGTGATCGTAATAATTATCGCTTCGAATTCTACTATAAAGTAAGCTTAATAATTTTCTCTTCGAAATCCCGCACACCGTTCAACGGTTCTTTCATCAAGGTGTCCCAAAAATTAATACGCGTGCAGGCTCCTAAGCCCCTCTAGCCGGTGGGGAACGTGTTTAGAGTACAAATTCCGGTACGTTCGTTGCGGATCTATATTTAGTTAGAAGCGAAGGCACCCATGTGCTACAATGATCCGGACTTCTCGACTTCCGATGTTACTAGTTTTATTAAAGTTATGTTAACATTTTGGAAACTTCTTCAATTGAAATTGAAACTATTATTTCGGATATTTGTTTTTTCAAACAAACTAACGATTTGGGCCCTTTACATGTATGTTCACGTCTGGCATTGAAAAATAACAAATATATGCTATTTAAAAATAGTTTTCTTTCCAATGTGTAACAATCGCGAAAACGAACTCGATATTCAACTTTCGACACGCAACTTTGTCGAACGAAAATATCCTTAAATTCTACAATAAAATGTTTATTGTTTTTACATAGGTACATAACCTTTTTGCTTATTTTTGTATGACGAATAATTTTTGCAAACACATATCCAGACAACCGGAAACATTTTGTTAGAAGAATAACGGTTATATGAAATATTTGCTCACCATTTTTTACCTTTATGCTTTGCAACGTTAGCAAATTGTAGACAGACTGGCAGACGGTAACCCGTAGATAATACACTATATTTTTGACGGTAACCCTAGCTCCGAGTCACAGACCCGTTTTTTGCTGTTTAAAGTTGAGGCCGGCCACTACATGATATTTCGTTTATTACCAACGACGGCCATCGTATTCCCTGATGTTCTTTTTTCAAGCCCGCATATGTTAGTGCGAGGGTTCGGACCATTATTGATTTTGAATTCGGTTTTTATTTCTTTGTTAAAAATGTTTCTAAAATCATATTTGTTTAAGGTACAATCTTTATCTATTATCGGGTTTTATTTCTTATTGTATTCATTCGTAATAATCTATTCAATGCAAATCTGCTCGTATTTGTCGATGCGATATCGTTACGTAAATATATAGAAGAAAAATGTCGGTTATTTTCGATGTTTCTATCTCTGTAATGTTTGTTGACTCCATTGATATCTGATTGTACAAATAACATATTTTCTTAAGACACACTTCACGTATCGTTGCTATTTTGTTATTTATTATCAGTGTTTGAACACCCCTTATCCCATATTTGTTCATGTTATCGTTCACAAGATAAAATATCGATGACTTTCTTTTAAAATAGACAACATTCACTTTGTCTCTTTTGTGTCCTTTGTTTTTTACTACTACCAAAACAAAACAGATTTCCTCATATTTTTCGTTTATAATCTTATCCTTGCAGATGCGTCTTTAGATTATGCCCTGTTTAGTATTCTCAAGGCATAATCAGAGCCTGCGACTAATTTGATCCAGCGTTTCTAATGGTTTCTATGCCAGCAGCTAAATTTTCGTGGTAGTTGATTTTGGCAAACAACACGACAACGTATAAGCTACAGTGCATTGTGTACGCAAGTCCTCAATTTGTGGAGGGAAGGCGGCAATCAAAACAAATTACATTTCTCAAGCAAACGTCCAATAATAAAGGTAGAAGTGACATGAATAAAAACGTGTTTGATTCAGAACAGACGAATTGTAGACGCAAAAACTGTTGCTTTCGGTCACATGAGCTTACAAGACAGATATGGCACAAAGAATATATACGTAATTTCAAGTAAGCGCTTTCAAGCTTGAAATCGAGGACTATTATCAGTTATTGTACCGTCAGAGGCCATTGAGAGCGATAATTGCTTGGTTTATCAAGCGCATTCTTGTCTGTTTTATATCCACTGCGTTACTCGTAAAGTTCCAAACAGTGCGGCTTTGTCTTCGGGTGCGTTTACATTTGAAGTGGGTAAAAAGAAAGTCTAAGAGGGGACTATGATGCGTACTCAATTTAATGTTATTCGGTTACCCATAAGCTGAATGTTGCCATCTGTGGAATGCAAGTTCATTTCCTGAGTGGACAATTAGTAATGACGATGGTATGTGTTCATGACACGACGAATGCACGGGTTGAATGACTAGATAATTAGCGATCAGACAGTTGGACCATTTTTTAATTTTTTTTATTTATTGTCTGAAATATTTGAAAATCAACAGCGTTTCTTAATAATATGTAACAAAATAACAGATCACCCCGAGTTATGGAAATTAGTCAATAAAATTAATTTAAAAATAGAAAAGTAATATGTATCCACCGAGGAAAAGAATAGATTTTTGAAAATGAAGTCATAGACATATGGTACCTTGTTAGTTGGTTTGTCAAAACAGGAGTCAGTGATAATGTGTGTTAATGTGCGCGCGCGCATTTTTTCAATTCTGTGATAAATCCACCATAGTTTTGAGGTAGACTTCGTCTGCAAAAACGATGATACTTGTGTTAACAAAAATGCTAATTTCATTAGCACCGCCAATATTCCGTTTTAACAAAGTTGGTAAGTAATTCGCCTTTACCATATTCTCGGAAAATAACTTTCATCTTTTATGCAGGGATTCATATCCCAGAAGCTGGGATTATTTTCTGTTCTTTTAGATGTTGACTTATCCCTAACAGGGAGTACCTCAGCAGAATGTCAAGTATTGATGTGAATTACCTACTTACATAGGTAGTTTTTATTTATGCGAGCTACCAATTGTCCTTACTATTGTGTTTACTCGCAAAATATGAGTCATCGTGACCACAGTATAATGGAAATAGAATAGTCACATTTTCATACATTAAAGTACTAACCGAAGTCAATTCTATAAACCTACCTGCTACACCTTTGCGTGTTGGTGGCCTTTTGCCGATATAACCTATACAACTGTCTGTATTTTTTAAATAGAGCTTTGTATCTTTTACGTAAATGCGATATATGTATATCCGATCGGAAGTAGATAGCGTTGTCACGCGTGTCCCACACTGTTCAGTTCTGGTCGTAAACCCGCTAGCCGGATATTAACTTTGGAAAGCACCTGCATTGCCGGTCAGTGTGCCCCAATACCCGTGCGGTTCACATTCACAATTATAAAGAAATACCTCAAATTTTCGAAGTTGTACGAAGGGACTATACATAAATTTGGTAAATATGGCATTTGTTTAAAATATTTTTATAAATCTGTCTTTGTCATAGAGACATCTTGTACCCGCTAAGTACTATTTTGACGTTGACGTGTTGACGACCTCTATGGTTCAACGGTTTGCATTGTGGGCGTTGAATGCGGGGTCCCAGGTTCGATTCCCGGGCCGGGGGAAATATTTGTATGGCTCACATTTATTTTTCTTGTGTTTTTGGGTGTAGTTTGTGGTTGTCTGTGTGTGTGTCCATGGCACCCGCGTCACAGGGTTTCCTAGTGCGGGGCTATGTTGAGTGTGTGCGTTATTATTATTATTTATAGCAATTTCTCCTTTTCTAAACTGTTTAAATAATTGATATGCCAGACAACCACATTAATTACCTGATCTCAAATTAGGGAATTCCTTGTACTTTGAGTACCAGAACAACACTATTTACTCGGAAGAACCCAATACACCCAGATCACAACCAATTTAAAAAGCTCATTTCCCAAATTGGTTCTAAGGGAATCGAAATCGGAACCTCCTCAGTGAAGTATATGTTTCAATAAAAAGATGTGTCAAGATTGTTTACATTTAGTTAAACACCTAAACAAATGGACTATAGAGACCTGGTTGTCTGGCACATAATAATAATAATTATTATTATTATTTAACAATAACGCTTATTGTCCCTTTTATGTTTTGGATGTTTTATGTAATGTCTCTTATGCATACGAATAATGTGTATATATTAAAAATTAATTCAGGAGAACGTTCGAAGCCAAAATTCTGTACAACATGGAGTGACCTTCAAAATTCAGTAAACCTAGTTGCTGTGCACTATGTGTTTATGATGCATAATAAGTAGCTATTAGTACATCAGAGATCGGTGGTTAAATACTAGGTCGGGCATGTCACGCTGTATTTGACATACTGACACGATTTGTCACACGCGACATATTTTTGGTAAGTACATTCCTCGCTTGCACTTGCATTAGCAGGTAACATTCATGTAACACCTTAAAAAGATTTGGTAAATAAATAATTTGACGACAATGGTTGTCCAATGTTTTGCAACGTAGGCTCAATATAAGGAGGTTCCGATTTCGATTCCCTTAGGACCAATTTGGGAAATGAGCTTTCTAAATTGATTGTGACCTGGGTGTTTTGGGGTCTTCCGAGTGAATAGTGTTGTTCTGGTACTCAAAGTACAAGGAATTCCCTAATTTGAGATCAGGTAATTGATGTGGTTGTCTGGTATATTAATTATTTAAACAGTTTAGAAAAGGGGAAAATGCTATTAATAATAATAATAACGCACACACTCAACATAGCCCCGCACTAGAAAACCCTGTGTCCCAAATAGACAATCACAAATTACACCCAGAATCACGAGAGAAATAAATGAAGGCCATATAAATATTTCTCCCGGCCCGGGAATCGAACCTTGGACCTCTGCGTGGTAGTCCGGCATGGTAACCGTTCGGCCACTGAGGCAGTCCTGAAGCTTGTTAATACTTTAACGATAGTTATTTGTTACAAATCATTATTACTGCTGCACACGAGTCTTTTTAAAGAGAGGGTTTAGGCCATAATCGGCCATGCTGGCCCAATGTTGGTGACTTCACACGTTTTCCTAGGGTTGTGAACCTTCTTCGACATGCAGGTTTCATCACGATATTTTCTTCCACTGTTACCGGGAAGTATTAAACTTTCACTGTACGTAACTTAGAAATTAAAGTCGTAGGCATATGGTTCCTCAGGGATTTCAATTGAGTTTAGAAGCAGGCAGTCTCCAACTGCTCAGGCTGCCACCAATCAATTATTCCATTAAAAATGATGAAATATTCCTTAAGATACTATATACATCAAATGGTTTTGGTTCAAACAATCACTTTAAAAAAAATATACCTACATTGATTAATGTACGGTGTGATAACACGATTCCTAAAAATTATGACGATAGAAAAACAAAGTTATCTCGAAAATTTACAAGAAAACCGCTGTATTCAATAGTACTTTACATATACCTACCAATGATTTTTTGATATCAACTGAACTAAACAGAACACGTGTACTATACGAAATTAAAGTCATTTGAAAAATGTACATTTTTCAAATGACTTTAATTTCGTTGGTAAAAAATTAATTCTGAAGTAAAGCCAGTGTCCTTCCGCTCGACCTAAGCCAAATGAACCGTATTAGTACGGAAGAGATTTAAACTCGAGCTAAGTTAGTATCGACTCTTAAGTACCTACACGGCTATTAAACTCTAAAAAACTTATATTACAATTAAAAATCTCAGTATCTTAGTATCAACTAAACAGTGTACTACAAAAAGTCCATAGAATCGCCTCTTGTAAGGGAACTTCAATTCAATAAGCTCAAACACAATACTTCTACTGTAAGGAGTTGGTGAGGGAGTCTGCAGACTGTCCTGGTTACATCAGATCAAACTTACCATATTATTGTAATGTTAACGAATTTCCATATTATACCAAATTTGAAGTTCATCAATATTCATGCTGCATTAACTGGCAAAAGAACTGATGATCTTTAAGGAGAAGTTAGACTCAAAAAATAGACATTTTAACGTATTTCTATCATACGGAAAATTCGCTTTTCGACATTAAAAAATACGAATGAACTGTTTTTTTTAACCGACTAAAAAAAGGAGGAGGTTCTCAATTCGATGTTTTTTTTGTATGTATGTATGTTACGCGAGAACTCCGGTATTTGTGCACCGATTTTCATGATTCTTCTTTGTTGGAAAGAGGGTACCTCCATAGTGGTCCCATTTAATTTTGAAGAAAATCATCCAACTCTAAGAGTGGCTATTCACGCATGAAGATTCATTTTTATAAATAGCGCCGAAATCTTGTTATAAGGAGCAATTATTTTAATGGTTGATTTTGCTAATTCAAGGCGTTGATCTCTCTCAATACACTTTGTAGTGTAGTAGTGAGAACCGATTTTTATTATCTCCTGTGTCAAGTTCCGTATAGTGGCGAACTAGAGGATGAATCCGGGTTTGCGCACTTTCCGGTAACCGATTTCAAAAAAACTTGGCAAATAGATGTAATTCCACGTACTTTTGAGGTCGGTTTTTTTAGTACTCTGTACTGAGGTTATTTTAATTGATAATGAAAATAGACGATACCGGTAGTTGAACTATGAGTGCCGAAACACGATCGACTAAACTTCTCTCATAAAAAAATCAAATAAAATGCAAATTTCTTATTTTTTCCTACGTTCGTCTACGGAAAAACAGTTTGATTCGGTTGTTATTAGGGATATTTCAATTAAAAATTTATCTCCCGTGTTCCATAATACATATGTCAGTAAACGATGAGCTTATTTTACAGAAAAGAGTATAGGTACATTTTATTTGTAAAAGGCAAATGTTTAAATATCGTGCAATGAATTTCTCCGCGTCTACCTCTCAGGCCCACGACCAACGCAACCATGATACCATTTCGCTTTAAACATTTGAATAAATGTTCAAAAAACATAGCTAAGAACCATCTCGATTAAAAATTAACCTTAAAATTAACCCATTAGCTCCCGCCGTACCCTAGTTTATGTATAATGCTCATTAGAAATGTATATGTGAAGTAAAATAGTGAAATTTGATTTAATTACTTAAAAAAAAAATAGAATTAAATAAAAGTGGTTCTGCTGTTCTTCTTGCGCGGTTAATTTACGCACACGTGAAACGCTAAAGTTAGTTGTTTTTCCTGTATATTATTACCAACAATTTATTTATTTCCTTGGATAAATTGTTGAAATATATTCGTATACTATAAAATAAAAATTATATAATTGAGTTAAATAGCATTTTCACAACTTCAGACGGTGGTATGTAACGGTGTCACACCCCGGACACTCCATACAATGGTCGAAAATTATTTACCTACTACTACTACATACAGCAAGGCGCTATCTGCACACGTGCAAATGTTTGCGTGGCATGCCAGGGTTACCCATGCCCGGCAACATGGCGAACTGACGCGAATCTATTATCTGTGATTCTATTCATAGAATCCAGAATCCTAATAATTACACATGTCTATTATGTATTTATATCGACATAATATCATATATTTTTCATCAACTCAGTAACTAGAGTAATATTAAAGATTTATTTAAAAAATATATTAAAAGCACTTAAAATGTTATATTTTAGACATGTACTTTTAAATAAGGTAATCAAGGTATTTGAAATTGCGTGTCCAAGTTGATCATCATTACTTAGTTAATAATTAGGTATATTCGCTACTTACGTAATATTTTTCGCCAATACGAATTGAAAAGTCGAGAACCCTTATCTACCAGCATACGAAGTCATGGCGCCTCATTCATTATATTGATATAATAAATCTGTATTTTTTATACGTACATATATTACTCTGCAGTAAATAAATGAGAAAACAAAAACTGCATGAGTCTCAGACATAAGTTTTTTTACTTACCTACTTCGTTTCAGCACAATTCACGACCATTATAAATAGTAACGTAAAATGATGTTTTATATTAACGTACAAGTTTCGTAATGAATAAATGAAAAATATTCAAATATCAAAGCCAGAAAACGGCTCGCTGGCAGCCTTGTTGTCGTTCAGTCAATGTGACCGGTAATGTGCGGGGCGTGGTGCGGTATCTAAAGCTAGGGAGGGGCGGAGAGTGTCCGTTCTCTTTACTTTTTGTTCTCGACGGTGTTCCCAATTGGGGCCATTGGGCGCATACGGGGTGGTATATTAGTTTTCATCTATAAATAATGTTTAAGTAAATAATGTCACAACGGGTATTTGGCAGCCACAATTATTACTATGGGATTC